ATTAACATGATTTTTCTGCCTCATATAAAAATCAATTTATTACAATTCTTCTTATAATTTAATTAAACAAAATATTTCTGCAAAAAAAGTCAATAAACCTCATTTCTAACAATAAGAAAAACTTTTTTTTCTGAGAGTAATTATAAATTTTTTAACTTGTTGTCTATAATTTTTAATCATTGGGAAGTTTTAATTAAAATTTCGTTTTAAATCAATGTTAAATTTATATTTTATATTATATCGCACTGCTGCAAGAAAATCTTCTCATTTTTCATCCTCCAGAACTCAGAGGTCGTGCAGGTTGCCTAACTCTCCAAGTTGCAGGCGTTGTCTTGTCTCGTGCGTTGCAGTTAGCAAAAGAGCCTCATTCATTCCTCTCCATTTACCCGGCTCGTAAAGACAAATTTCGCGAGCGCCGTTTGCGCCAATTGTCTGTTTTGCTGCTTCGCATTATTAAAATTACCTCCGCAGCTTAACCAGCAATTACAGTAAAACACGGAATTAGCCGAGCACATTAAAGCACACATAATCCCGGCAGTTTGACGCTCGTGACGTCGGCGGGAAACGGGCAAGCCTTTTTCCGTTGTTGAACTGCTTTTGAATAAAAACTTTGTTCAGTTTTGAAATTGTTCTCACGCTGGAAAATGATGCGTGCGTGCGACCGGAGAATTAGGTGTTGCCAATTTTATGAAATGCACCGACCCAATTTGCGTCAAAAACGTCGAGCGATATTTCAAATGCTGTTGACGAGCGAGAATCTGAGGTCGCGTGCTTCGTACCTTTCCCATTTTCCGGTGAACGTTTCAACCTGTTGTTCCCCGTTTCCTTTCGGCGCGATGCTTTCTCTCTCTAAAAACCCAGCCAGCCGACGAGAGTTGTAATTTGGCTTTTGAGAATGGTGCGTGTGGGAATTTTCAAACACATGACGAGAGAGGCGTGTGGCTCTAAATAAAAAAGCACATGTAAGAATCAAAATATTTTAATAAAAATTCATTCTGTTAATCAAATTAAAAAAAAAGAGTAAGAATATAGAATGATTAAAGCATTTTTCTTTGTTAAAATTTCTTCATTTATTTTATCTGAAAAATTAACTTGGCATATAAAAATTAATACAAATTCAAGTCATTTTAAAATATATTATGATATATTTTGACCAATTTTTAGGAAATTGGCAGTATTAATAATTTATCCGCATAAACAAAACTTTAATTTGATTAAATACATAAAAAACGCTTGGGAAAATATATGTCAAGAAAGTTCAATTAACGGGAAACCGATATTTATTGCAACGACTAATTATAGGATATTATTTTTTTCATTCTAAATATTTTTAAAAAATTTAAAAATAGATTGTAATAATGCACTCTACTTCTCGGACATAAGTTTTTTCTCAGATTTGTCAGTACAATTAGTCTCCTTTTTTTTGCTCTTTTTCTCATAATATGAATTGGTTTTTTTTCTGAACCTATATTTTTATATTTACGCGTATTAATTACGTTTTTTGTTTTTAATTAAAACTCTTTGTATTTTCGGACAAAATAAATAACTCCACTCGAAACGGAAACGAAGAGCACTTCATCAAATGACACAATATGATGGTGACTGAAGGGCTCTCGCGACTCAGGTTGCCTGTGAACACACACGCATATTATTAAAAGTCTGGAGTTTAATTTGGACACACGAACGCGATAATTATAAAGAGTTATCTCATTAATCTGTCGTCGGGCGGGTCTCATTAAAAAATCTCGAGTGTGTTTACTCTCTTCGTAATAAGTGAAGCGGCGGCGCGCATATACTTTCATACAAAACGACGTGGCACGCAGCGGGAGAAAGGAAAAAAAATAAAAGAAAAGCGCCGAGGAGGACAAAAACACCGAACGAGATAAAGAAAGAACCGGGCCGGTGTGTTTTAATTAAAATCCGTCTCGCATTCTCTCTGTCTCGATGGCCATCCATCGAAACTTGCGACAACTTAGGAAGGTGCGTGTGTTGAAGGGGGTGGCTCGCAGCATCCCCCGTGAAGCGCGCGGCACGAGCCGCGGCAGCTGTTGCCGTCTCCCGCGTGTCTCGCTCTCGCCGAAAGCCAAGGCGGCCCCATGCAGCGGAAATCCGGCAGCCGCACAAGAATTTCTTCTTTCTTCCATCATTCTCCCCCTTCGTGCACCTTGCTTTGATTTTTTGCCCTCGATTTCCATGTGGCGAACTTACAACTCCGACCAAACTTTTTCCGGCTCCCTTTTTGCTTCTCACAAGAGCGAGCGCAGAGACTTTAATTTTCTCTCTCTCTTTCTCGAGAGAGAGAGTTAATTTTCGCCAGATTGCAAGTTTTTCGTCGCTACTTTTCTGATTCGCCTCACTGACTTTTGCTTTCCGTGTCCTTTGAAAAAGCTCCTTCTCCGTGTCGAAGTTGGTATATTCGATGTTTATTATTATTTTTCTCTCTCTCCCCAAAAACTTGATTTCGAGATGCGCGCATAAACACAGAAATAAGGTTTCTCAATTTCTGCTGGATGGCAAAATTCCCATCTTGCCTGCTCGAACTTCAGCCCTCGTTATATGTAATAGCAAACATAAGAAATATACCAAGTCTGGCTGCTGAACTTGCGTATACATTTTTTTTTTAAATAAACAATATTTTCCGGGGCGTCTTACATTTCCAATTTTTGCACATCCTTGAGCAATCTTGCCTCTCTCTCGGCAGGCGTTTGTTTTCAATCTTCCTTATTGCATTACTTCTTTCTTGTTTCTCTTTGACGTCCTCAGGAGATTTTGTGTGACTCGCGCGTTCCCTCTGCTGATCGGATGTGACGCGATTCCGACCGCAGCATTTATTTTTTATCACGCATCTGGTCGCGGCGGCTCGCAATCACACACGTGCTTTCTGCCGCGTCTCATATATTCTCGTGCATCTTTTATTTGTTTGCTTCGATTTTCCCTTTCCACACACACACATACAAATACATCAGGCGGCGCCTCTGCTCCTTTAATGTATAAAAAATCCTTTCGCTCTCTCGAATAAGAGGAAAACGGGAGAGAAGTGCTGCTTTTTCAAAAGGAGATTGCAAAAAGGAAAATTGGATTGAAAATGCTTTGCTACAATTCATATAATTTGAAAATGAACTTGCTCCAGTTTTAATTATTATTAATTTTCTTTCTGAAAAGAAAAGAAAAAATATGTTCTTTCAAAATTAATAAAGTAATTAAAATTTTTCAAGAACTTAATTATTCTACTTGCAGACAAAAAGTTTAAAAAATGATTAAATTTAATATTTAATTGTTCATAGAGGCTTATTTTCCTACAATTATTAAAAAAAGTACTTTTAAAATTATAAGTAATATAAATTTTTCAAGAATCTAATAAGACTAATTATTCTACTTACAGTAAAAACGTTTAAAAATAATAAAATTAATATTAAATTATTCATAGATATTTATTTTCCTTATTCTAAATAAGACGTTTAACAGGATCCAGAAACAAACTCTTTATCGCGTTCAGACTCTTTGGGAAGCAGGAAAGTGAATTGTAATAATTATTATCGGTCGAACACGGATTTAATAGCGCCGGCAGTAAAGCTTTGGTTTTTTATTTTATTTTTTAAATCTCATCCGGTGTCGGTGCACCCAGCCGACTCTCACTTTTTTCCCTTTTCCTCTGTCTCGCTTGTTCTCATTTGCTCTCTCGACACTCGGAAGTGAGGATGGGAACTCTTGAAATTTAAATCACTCTCTGTGTGATGGGCTAAGCTAGAGCCTGCTGGATGTTTACGTACGACCCACTACTATCCTATCCTATCCCCCACAGCAGCATCTTTCTTCTCATCTCTTGCAGGGGTTCTTGCGGCGCGCGGCTGCTCTCTCGGGCTTTTTTTTTACTCTCCAAGATGTTTTAGGCATGAATATTACCGTGACGGCTGTAGCCAGAATCCTGCCTGCACCATAAGTCTTCAAAACGTTCGGTGACTCAAACTTTCATCACCGCGGAGCGTCTCTAACGACGACAGCTAGGCCGCGCCGTCTCCTGCTGGCTGATCCCCTGGATTCGCACCGCTTTTTTCATTTTTTAAAAACACACACAAAACAAAAGCAATTCGGTTGAAAAAAGCTTGTCGCAAGACGTTTGCCGCTTCGAATTGATTTACTGTGTTAAAAGCAGGCTTAGGAGGAGCAGGGGCGCCTTGAGGGTTAGAAAAAAAAGAGAAAAGGAAATTCATTGCAATGAAAACAATTTTTCATAAATGAATCACCTCAAAAAGCTCCAAGTTCATAAGAAACTGCGAATAAATCAAATTAATTAAATCAATTGCCCAATTTTGTTTTTAAAAATTGAATCGTAATAATCATTATGCCTTTATTATTAACTTATATTCATAATTTTTTTTTTTTAATTATTTGTAAGGATCTTACTTATATAAATTTTTATTTTTTTCTACGCTCATTTTTTTGCGTCACAATAATAATGTCAGGGTTACGCCCTGACGGTGCTAGATCCTATGGGAATAGTCAATTAAACAAATGTGATACCCAGGGAAGACATTGTTATTATTAAATATCCAAAGACAGTTATTACATAAATACCTTTAACGGAGGTGATACTTGAGAACGTCCGCGTGGGTTCGTCCCGTGGTGATGAGTGACGCCGCCGTCACTCATCACATACTAGGTGCTCATTTTTGCTTATTGTGCGCTCCCGGTGAGTGGGAGTAATTTATCACTAATTTACTGGGGAGCGCACTAATTCAAATCCTGACATCTCCCCCTCTCGAATTTAGGGAAAGAACAAAAACAAATAAAAAAATAAGAAGTTACTTTTAGGACTTGTTAATATTGAAAAATGTTGCCTTGCTCGAATAAATAAGTTATTTAATATTTGTAAATGAATATTATCCTCTTACTTAATTATGATTAAGAATACTGAATTTACGAATCGCCGTAATGGAATTTTTTGCAATGTTATTAATTTTGGAATATTTATTTGAGATGGGAAAGATTTTAATTGCTTCAACCGATTAGTTGGGGTGAGGTACCCACCCCCTCCCCCCGGCTTATTTGGGGAATTTAAAATTTTAGTTTTATTTTGTTTGGGACGAATGTGTAAATAGTGTTGTGGAAAAAAAAAATTTTTTTTTTGTATAAGCAAAATTTTTGATATCCGACTGGACTGGCGGACCCTCGTAATTGTGCCAAGGGGAGCAAAGTCGTGGGTAGAGGAAGCCCACAGCGGTGGTCAGCCGCGCTCGTTTACGAGCCCTTGCACAAAGCGAGAGGACCTCAGTCCAAAACGAACATATGGATCGAAAGGGTTTTGGGGTGTGTTAGCCGGAATATAAAAGGGGTTGGAGCCCGCACCACAACCGAAACAGGAATAGCGGAAAAGAACGTAATTCGAGAAAAAGGGGAACACGGAAAAATTCCATTGACGGGAAGGAAGAGGTGTGCGACAGGGTGTCCAGCCCTGAGTACAAAATAAATTCGGAAAAAATTAAAGAAATAAATAAAAATAAAAAAAAATTAGATAAAAAGGAATGTTGACCATGTAAAAATAAAATGCAAAGTAAAAAAAAAATAACAAAGGGAATAAAAAAATAGCGATGGTCAAATAGACGGAGAGAGAGAAAAAAAATTAGGGACTTCGAGCAAAATTTAAATACTGGAGAGCGAGAGACGTCAGGGTAATAAAAGGAGACTAAATTACCAAAAATAAGGAAGGAAATAAGAGCACCGAACTAAAGTTAAATACAGAGAATGCAAATTAACAAAAAATCAAAAAGGGATAAATCGACGCACTGAGTGTCCTACACGTTGGTTTAGTCTTCGGCCGAAGGACAACGGCGTCACGTCTGATGGTGGGATGTGGCGGCGGAGCGGCGGCTGGACGGCGGAACGGCAGGACAGCAGGACACATTTCACCAGTCCTCGAGATCGGAGGACGGAGGCGAGAGGGGCAGTGTGGCCACGTATTCGTCGGGCTCCCATTCATCCTCCGATGAGGGGGGGGAAAACTGGACATCGGGAGGCAATGCCGCTTGAGCTGTGTCCAATTCGGCCTGGAGGAAGGCAAGGTACGGACTCAACAATTCGCAGAATGTCTGGAGCCTGGCGAGGAATTGACGGGCGAGGTTGCGGCCGATGTTGGGTTGGCCCGCGTCAAGGACAGATACGAGTGTGTCAAACAGAGTCAGAAGGAGCTGAGCGGAGTAGGAGATGCGTGCCAGGTGAGCGACTACCACCTCTCGGGTCTCGTCCAACAGGGACTCGAGAGCAGTCGGGTTGGAAGTAGAAAAGACCTGTGCGTCTCGTAGAAGGCTGCGGAGGTGCGCTCGAAAATAGTCCGTCAAGAAGAAACTTTGTCCCGCCGCCGCGAAGTTGATGTATGATTCCAGCCGCTGCCCCGTCCGGTAGCATTGGGAGTCGAGGCGGCAAATCCTGAAGCTCTCGGACCGTAGTACGTAGATGCGCATCATGAGTGCTACAAAAATAAACCCAATTATAAGGAAAAAACACAAAGCTGAAAAGAAGGAAAGATTGGGCAGGAATGCCTATGGGCAGTCGTGTCCCATCTCATTAAGAAAAGATGAAAATAAAGGGACTGGAAATGGTCCATTGAATTTATTATTACATCTTTGTGTGTAGGTCGGATGAAGAAGGGAGATGTAAATAAAAAAATCTTCAACCGATTATTATTATTATTATTGTGAATATTGAATTTTGTGTACTAATAAAAAAAATTTTCATCGCAAGATGCATAAGTGATTTGTAAAAAAAGAAAAAATGAAGCCAATGAAAACCGAGAGAACAATACTTGAGATTAAATAATAATGAAAATTAACTAGAACGAAAAGTATGTTAAAAAAAAATTTGATAATTTTCAATAAATTATTCCTGTCATTCCTGAGCCAGGTCGGAATGCACCTCGACCCCCAGGCGGCCAGCCGAGGCCGAAAGAGCGGCCTGGAGGCGGCCCAGGCCGAACCTCGGTTGAGGTAGGCGAGAGTGAAGAGCGCTGTCAGCTGATGGGTGTCAGTTGATTAACCCAGTTTCGCTGGAGTAGTGTGTGCGTGGAAAGTGTCAGGTTGGACACCAGCCGGTATGGAAAAACATACGCACAAGTCGTTGGAGGGGAAAGCGAGTTATGATGTTTTAACTCTGGTGCAACCGGTGGCACAGTATGGAGAAATGAATGAATTATGTCTAGTGTGCGAAAGGAACCATAATAATAATCATAAAAATAAACAATAAACGAAAATAATAATAACCAAACTGAGAAAAATAATAATAATAATACCCACACAAAAATAAGAAATTTCAAAAAAAAAAATCTAACGGTCAGGCCGTCGAGATAATTTTAACTGATACTTGAATTTGGTATGGACAGGGTTGGTATTGTATCCTGAAGAAAGTAATTGATGGCACTTACAGGATTGAAATTAGACGGAAACTCGGAGAAAGAACGTTTGAATCAAAAATTCTGAAGGGTTAAGGTCATCGCGATAGTGCTGCGTGAACAGGAAATCAAATCGTCTGAATAATAATAATCCAATTTTGCTGTTGGAATCGCAAGCGTGTGGTTTTCTGGCTGAATTTTTTCTCGGAGTTCAGTTAAAGCTAATTTCAGTTTGCTCGGCGGTACGATCAAAGGATTCAATTTGCCAGTCGCGCACGAGGAAAAGAGTGTTTGAAGGAAATGGGAATTTTGCAAGTTGATCAAGTGCGTGAATGAGTGGAGAACTCTCACATACAGATTAAATGTATGATGGAGTAATAATTTGTCGTGAGCAGAAGTTGCCGCGGCCAAAGTGATTTTAATTCTATGAGAAATTTCCTGAATATAATTTCTCATATTTGACGCGAACTGGAAGAGTTGGCCATTATTCTGGGAAATTTTTGTGAAGGCGTTTGCGATTTCAACATTTAATTTTTTGAGTTGATCACGAGCTTGGGTGCCAGTGGGCGGCAGGTCGGCATGGGTGACAAGAGAACAACAATAACTAAAGAAAGTTCCTATGAATTCAAGTGCGCGTGGGATTCGAAAGTTAAGTTGCTCCAGGTCTGTGTCAAATTCAATTTGAGTCAAATTGGCAAGTGTGTAATCTGCTCTGCTCAAAATACGTGTCAAGTTCAGAAAGGGATCTTCCGGTGGTGTGGAAACTTGATACCCAAACATAGAAGCAAGAGGGGCATATTGAGGTAATTCGATGTCAAAAACAATTGGGTAAATAGAAGTCGATGGAAACCATTGTAATTGTTTGACCAAAACCCCCGGGTGCAATTGGAATTCAGCTAGAACAATTGAGAAATAGTTAGTGATACTCAGCAGACAGACACCAAAAGTGGTGAGTCGCGGCCCGCGCGACGCGAGCATGATGAGGCGGCCCGCTTCTTTGTGTTAAAGAGTCGTGCCAGAGTGACCAGCCCCAAAACGTTGGAGTGGTCACCAGTGATTTTAGCTGACAATGAAAAAAAAATTATGCAGCGGAATAAGTTGCTGAATATGAAAACAACAAAAATTGAGAAGGAGTGCATTTTTGTGCATTATGTCGGCGGAAACAGGATGGTGTGATAATCCCGATGAATGTGCTAAACCCACGCATAACTGCAATTGTGCTATTTTAATTTGTGTTGAGCTATTTTCGTAGAAGAGAGCGGTCAGACGCTGATGTGATAAAAAAACTGCTAGTTGCAATGTCAACTGTTAGACCGCCAAACCAGGTGCAGCGGACGTGAATGTGCACCGCAGAGCCAGGAAGTCTGCATATTGCGTATGCTGACAAAGACGACAAAAAAAAATTAGACGCAACTAAAAATATTAATTTGAGTACGACAATCAGAACTCATGTATCTTGAAATAAAAATTAATAATTCAACTGAAGAATGATTTTTAATAATAAAAGAAAATGCGTCAGACCCAGGAGAGAATAATTGCACAATGAGTTATGCTAAACAAGAAAAAAATCATCTTGACAAGACCAGTAAAAATAATTATTGAAAACAACATATTTGTGCGGTGGTTATGAGTGGAAATCTAATGAGTCATATAATTTGGTTACAAAAATAATAAAATGGTATATATTCATCAGAGAGAAAAAAAAAAATTGTAATATTTTAATACCGCAAAATGAGAATAAATAAAAAAATTATAGATTCCAGATGTACGAATGTAGTGGATGTTAAACAAGTGTAAAGAATTAATAAAAAAATTGTGTTTGAATTAAGGTAACAAATAAATAATTTGAAAACCTTCAAGATTATATAATTAATTTGCTGGCAAAATTAATTAATCTGAAAGTGATAATGATGTTTGAAATTAAGTACTAGGCTCGGTAGTACTGTGCATCTGAGAAAAATTGGAATCAAATATAAATAAAAATTTTGTTAATCCACTACATTAATTGTGTGTCTACCCGGTGGTGCGTGGAAGACGCACGATAAAAATCGTGGTGTCAACCGGGGCAAAATAGAGCTGCAGCAAATGTAGGATGTATTCTGGGGGCATTTCGTCTAGCCCACTGCAGAGGGCTGGAATCGCGAGAGAGCGGACCCCGTGGTCATGGCAATATGCTGCTAATTTCCGGATGGCAATCTGGATATTGCAAACAAACGCGTTCGGACGATGTGAAATCTTATCTTCAGATTTCCATTTTGTGACCAAATGCAGCCACGTTGTGGCGGTGTAGACACCGCGACCCTCTACTTTGACCGGCAGGATGGTGCCAGGGCGCACCTTTTCTGTCAAAGGGCGGTTAACCTTGCCATAGAGATTGACATAGGAACGTGCGAGCCCCCTATACATCCCTAAATCTGCTGCTACCGCATGTGCCTTGTACTCTGATGGCCAGCGGAACAAATCTCCTGTCACTTCGTAAATTTGACACCTAGGTCTTGGTGGCAGTAAAAAGGGACAGTCTCGCTGCAGCATGAAAACCAGTAGTTTGTACTGTTGGAATTCAGCATCGGCAGGTCCCCAAATTTTTTGGTCCATCTTAAACAAACGTGAGCACCGATAGAACTATCAAATAGGTGTTACAAAGGGACGAGTACAGAGAGGAGAGAAAAAAAAAATATTGTGATATATTAAAAAAAAATTTTAACACCAATAAAAGAAAGACTATCATGGACAGAAATTGAAGGAGAGGTTAAAGGGAATTGTTGGAACCCTTTTTTAATTTTTCCCCTAATAATATATGAACAAGTGCAGTGTATAATCAATAAAATTCTGTTTGACAATCAGAATATGTGTTCTGCAGACATCAAAAATGCAAGTGGGACTATATAACACAAATATTTCGGCTCTTTATAGAGTCGGCTGAGGCGCCAAGGCTTCCACTTTCATCAGAAAGAAAGACTACGCGCGTAGTTTTCATAAAATAATATTGCAAAAGGAATAAAATAACGATTCTAAAATTAAATCCACATGGGCCCTGTGGAATCTGATTTGATACAGGATCGTTATTAAATCCTTTAGTCTCTCTGACGGCCTGGCTAAACACAATTATGGTTGCTATTGAGCACCATTCCTCAGCTATTATTATTAATTACTTGTTAAGAATTGCACAGGTGCAGTGAAACGATGAATATGTATATTTCACACAGGCACATCACTGGCCTGTAGGAGTGTGGGTGACAAAAAATGTCATTTGAAAAAATAATTTTGTTTTGGAAATGTACAATTGAAAAAATGAAATTAATGTCCAAGCTATATAGCTGGGAATAAAACCCTATGAAAAGGTCTCGAAAGAAAATAACAACAAAATTTTTTCAAGTGCAAAGTATTTATAAGTGCAATAATCATGTTTTTATAAGTGTAATTTTCAAAGAAATTAACTGTATATGGTTGTAGTTAGGTATTTTGAGGTGCGTAGACAGATATATTTATTGAAAAAACTCAAGGAATGAGAATTTTCAGAGCTCTAGAATGAGTGCTATAAAATTTTAAAGAAAATAGTAACTAAGACCCGAGCGCGAGAAATGCCGCGCCGGCTGCTGTGAGAAGTCGTGCGAGAGGAGACCCGCTTTGCCCCTAATTGCAAAACTCCCAAATGTTTCAAAATTTATTTGCTCTAAAATATTTCCCCTATCGATGAAGGTTGACAAAATTTAATATAAGGTAACTAGAAGTGATCAGAAGGACTGTCCAAGATTTTTTTTTTTCTTTTAAGAGCAAATATTTTTGGGACATTCACTTTTTAGGGAATTTTTGAGTGAAAAATTTAGGATAGTTCATTTTTGGGCATTTGTTTTAAGGGCAAATATTGGGGATATTGGTTTTTGGACAAATGATTTTAGGGGCAATAATGGCGACTCCGCGCGAGAGCTGCCTGCCCGCTGCGACATGCAGAGCGCGATACAGCGCATGTCCCAAATCAAATCGCCAAGACACTCCGGTCGCCACGTGCTCGCGGGTGAGGCACCGCTCTTTCTCTCGGGCCACCGCGCTTCTAATAATTCTGAGCTGATATGATGTGCGCTCAG